GAAAGTGGAGTGTTACACGTAGCTTAAGTTTTCCTTAGATGAGAAAGAGGAAGCATCCCCACAGATCAGCCGGGATTCCCTCCTTGTGGTTGAGAAGACCTAAGGTACGGTGAGGTCTGTGCATCATGAGCTCCATCTGGAGGTTGCTCTGATCTGTGGTTTTCAAAGAAGTAGAGAGAAAATGCAACAGTGACGGGTCAAAATCACCAAGCCCCAGGGGCATCGGGAAAAAAATGTCCTTGCAAACCAGTAAAGTTGGCTGGTGTGGAGGTGTCACAGGGAGAATGGCAGGTGGTGGGATGAGCTCCATTTGCCCATGGTGTGTGGGACCTTACAGCTACACCCAAGATGCAGCCTTTGCTGTGTGCTTTTTTATCCATTGGTCAATGTAGCAAAGAAGAGGCAGAAAATCCATCAGACAGTCAAGACTGCCCTGTTAGACTGCTTATGGCAGAAGCAGCGGCACTCCCAAGTCCCAAGGGTGTGTATTTGGAAGTCTGTCTCTATCCCCACCCTTAAATGTAAGGGGGGTCATGGAGGTGTCAGCCCAACCCGTGGCTTCCACAGAGCGCACACAGCAGTGGGAATGGCCATTCCAGAGGTTCAGGGCTAGGAAGTACACGGAAAAGTATGGGTTTGTTAATTTGGATGAGGTATTGCTGCATGAAGCTCACAAAGTGCTTGTTTGGGGTGTAGAGCAAGTTTCTGATGACTTAGATGTTCAATCCTAGTGATTTTGTTCGGCTCTGTCCTGAAGCTGTCTGCTTGCACAACTTCATCTAGTCTTCTACTGATAATTGAAGCACTACAAATTCAGAAAGTTACAGACTGGGTCAGTACACTCATACAAAGTCAGTGAGCTGAGATGTGATCAGACTTTATGCCTGGCTACTCTTACAGTAAAAGCTGTTGGGAGTGGGGTATGCAGGACCCTGCAGCCCATCCTCTGTTCTAATGTTGCAGACAAAAGGTGGTGCTGTATGATTGAGCTAAAACCCACCAGGGATGGTTTTCTTTGTTTTGCTGGAGATCTCTCAGCACTTACAGCAGCAAGGGGTCTGACTGATGCAGAACTGTGGAGCAGAGCAAGAGCGCTCCACCAAAAACCAGAGTGGTTGGTGCACAGGAAGGTTGGGCTGAGCAGGATCCCCTTGTTCAAGAAGCTGCTGCACTGTGATATAGTCATTGTCCTCCCAAGCAGAAAAAAATGCTGGGGGATTCTTAAGCCAAGCAGCAGTCCTAGATATCCCAAGACCCCTTTTCTCCTCTGACACAGTGAACAACATTAGGGTGTTAAGGAGGTCAGGAAAGGTTATCTGGGGTGAGAAACCTGTGTGAGCTTTGCCATACATGCTATAATCACACCCACAGCTGTAAATATTATTGCTGGCTGTGCTTGTTATGTGATTGTGCACTTAACACTGTCATAAGAAGGTGCCCCTGTTTCAGACTGCTGCAGAGGTCTGTGGAACCCAGACTGTTTGGCTCTTGATGAAAAAGTGCAAGATCTATGTGAAAAAGCATCTCAAACATAGAGGCTGGAAGTGCGGTCTGTGCCATGAGCAGACCTGTAACGTAAGCCAGAGGCAGTGCTCCATGCCTGTGGTCAAAACCCCAGATGCAGGGCAGGGCTCTCTTCTCTACAAGATGGGACACATGCAGGAAACTGGGCACACAGCCCAGATTACATTTTTGCCATGGAGTTAGTGCCAGATGCCCCATGGTATGAAGAAGGAGTGGAAAGGAAAACTGATGGAGAACAGGAGTTTAAGGGGAGATGCGGACTTTAGTCAGCTGCTTAATGACACGAAGTTTCAGGGCTGCGCTTCTCTAACACCAAAGGCCACGATGGCTGCTCAGTTGTCAGACAGCTTCTGAAAGAAAAAATGGGTAATTAATCACCCAGGGTGCTAAACTGTTGTGCAGCTAGTTTTCGTTTTCAGAGACTCTTTAAATTTTGTACTCATGAAACTAAGCAGTCTTCCCTATTTTTTCAGTGCTGCTGAAAATCAAAGTTATGTCGTCCCTCTTCCACGATGGGATTATGACCAGGTGCACAGCATGGTGCTTAAGGGAAAAAAAGCAATTATTGACATGTACACAGACCGACAGGAGATCTTTGACTTGCAATGAGAACTGAGTTACCGTTGCCAGCAAGGGGTAAAAATTTTGAGAGGCCTGCAGATCATACAGAAATAAGATTATGGTGATGGCCCATTACACAGCAAATGAGAGAGATAAAAATGTGAAGGTTTATTGCTGTGTAGGTCCCTTTCTGTATAATAAGGTGGCCTCTACTTGCATGTCCACAATGGTTTATGGCTATCATTGAGGAAAAAGATATATTTGACTAATGACATATGTATCTGGCCAAAAAGTAAAATATTCAAACTTGTCATGTGTTACATGGCTGTGAGTGGGAACCCACTTCTGGGATGGCTAAGTGATCATTGCTGCATTGATGGGATGACAACAACTTTCAAATATAATGGGTGCTTTTTCCACGGTTGTATTGAATGCTACCATGAAAATGTCTGGAACCATCGGACAAGGACCACCTTTGGGTATTCATATAACACAATGCAACACAAGATGGACTGCTTGGAGAGCGGGTTTTACCATCGGGTCTGTATGGGAGCACAAGTGAGCTGCTATGTAAAGAAACAGATGGGAAGCTCATGGTCTTAGGCAGGACCAAACTGTCCAGTCCCTGATCCCCAGAGATGTGTTCTTTCGCAGTAGGACAAGTACCATTTGTCTGTACTACAAAGCAGACCCTGATGAAAAGATATATCACTATGATTTTGCTAGCCTCTCTCCTTTCGTCAGCAAAATTTAAAAATACCGTCTTGGGAACCCAGAAGTCCTTTTTTTTGAGCATTTTGACACAATGCTCACCTATTTTAGGATGGTCAAATTAAGGGTGTACCCACTTCATGGGTTCTTTTTCCCTGTGCTTCTCACAAGCATAAATGGCAAACTATTGTTTCCCTTGCGCTGAACTTTGTCTGAAATCTGCCTGGCCCTCTGCACCCACGGTGATGAACAGAAGTCCCTTGCAGATGCCCGGTGCACTCTGGACCTGAACAAGACTCTGGAGAAGGGCTACGGGGTCTGTGAAACCTATGAGGTCTGGCATTTTTAATGGAGGGGTAACAGCCTATCCGGGCATTATATAAAGATATGCCTCTGCCAGAAGCAGGAAGCTTCAGGCTGCCCAGCCTGGTGCACAGATGCTGACAAAAAAAAAAAACAAACCCAAAACCTAAGTATGTTGAAGATTACAGGCAGAAAGAAGATGCTGTTTTGCAGCTTGAGCATATGAGTAAAACCCTACAAAATGCCAAGCTGCCAAACTGTTCTGCATTCTCTGAGGGGTAAAATTGGAGTGAGCTCCACTACCATTGCAAGAACCAGAGGAGTTGGACGGTTATCCCTTCCCCTCAGCTTCTGACACGCCCCCCTGTGATTTATCCATGATGAGGTGGCCACTGTTCAGCAGAAGCACGCCAAAGGATGTGTGACCCTGGAGTGCAACACTGCCCTTTCCACAGCTTTTCTTGCCACTGTATGCTTGTGTCTAGAGCTTAACAATCCTGCAGATGTCCTGCATGACACTTGCTTTTACCACAACACAGGCTCTGGGACAACCGTGAATCATCCAGGGGACTGGATCCCCCCAGTTGGTGACTATTTAGGTGAGCTGACCATGCTACCAAGTTGGGGTATTCAGGTCCCAAATCCTACCACTACTTGCAGTTTGGAGGAAAGCACTACTTAAAAGTTAAATGTTTGACTCCACGTGCAACAAACAGGAAAAGATCCATTTTTCTCTAAGAGCCTGGGGGGCTGGGCAGGGACAGGCAGGCCTAGCAGTGCCCCAGGGCCCTGGCAGGCCCTTGGTGGCCTCCTTGGAGGGGTCCAAATCTTGGTGCACGCTCCAACCTAATAACACCCCCCAGCCTTCTTTAACTTCCCCCACACTCCAAAAGGGGCTCGGGTCTGCAGCCTTGGAAAGTAGGGGGCATGAACCTGCCCTCTGCCTTTGTTTAATTACTTCTATTCACATTTAAGCTTCTGTTATTCACATCACTAGCTCTTATGAAAGAGTGTTTATCGAATTTATACCTGCCTTTTTATGGATATATATTTAAATCATAATTTTTTTCATATATAGCATATACACACTAACCAGGCACATATATAAATAGAGGAAGTGGATCCACAAATAAATATATTCATATGAGACAGAAAAGCCTGTATTGTTATACTTGAGCCCTTCCGGGTCCAAAGGAAACAGGCAGCTAATCAGGGGGTGTCCTAAGATCACACGAATAGGACAATCTCAGAAATAAAATGGGAAGCAGCCAATCACTGAGCAGTATGAAAACAGGTGGGGACTGATCCTGTGCTATAAGAAGGCTACCCATTGCTGTAGCAGCAGGGGGCTTCCTGCACTGATGTACCACGGGGGACATCAGGTCCTTCCAATAAACATTTGCAGCACAAACTGTCACCTCTTTAAAAAGATGCCTGTTTGCTCTTTGAGCCTTACTTTATTGGTAGCTCTAACAACCTTTGATGGCAAAGAAGTTCATAGCCTAATTATATAGATATTCAAAGCTATATTAAGAGTAGGCACACCTTAAATTGTATTAAGATGGCACTTTGCTCTTGTATTGACAAGAGAACAGGCTTCATTGTAAGCTTTCCGAGGATATCCTTTTATCGTTTCTACTGCTACTCTCTAATTCAAGATAAGCAGTGCCAGCCTTCCAGTTCTTTGGTGTTTTTACACCTCTATAACATTGCATGCTCACCCTTTCCAGTTTGCTCTGTACCAAGTATTCCAGCAACTGCATGAGGGAGAAGTGAACACAGTTTTCTTTTCAAAATAGTTCTTCTCCATAGGAAAGAAGAAAACCAACCCACCCTCAAGTTTTAGGCTGTGTTTACCATGACAGTATTTTCAAACAACAGTCACAGAAGCAAACCAGTACTGTTTCTCATTTTAATTGCATAAAACCAACATGAATAAATTTTATCAAGTCTGTAAGTATACAGAGGTTGTGGGTTTTTTTTTTTTAAACACTTTTTGTATATTTTTATTTACAAAAGGAAAATTGAACTTACAGTTTCAAGCCAGATAAAACAGACAAGGCTAAAAGTAGAAGAAGCAGCAGAAGAATGTGTGGGCTTTTCCTTTTAAAAAAAGTATCTGGAAGACAGACAGAGAACACAAAGGGAGAGCTAACATCCAGAGTGGCTGCTGATGCCCTTGAATTTGGAACAGTGTTTGAAAAATCAACTCTTTAAGTTAAGGCCCTCACTTAATGTGTGGTGAAAGACTCCTTTCAAAATAGAGCAGTCCTTCAAACGTACTCTGGGGTGTCTGAAGTTCAGTAGCCGTATTTTTCATTGAGATGAGTCTTGCCATCACCACTTTGACCTAATGGACAAACAGGAAGAGTTGCATTATTTCCGCCCCCACCCCCCATGCAAGATAAATATGTACCCAAGTCACCAGTCAGACAAGCACAAAGAGGATGAAAAGTCAAGACTGGATATTACAATTCAAATAATATTTTGATTTATCCACATAATTCCTTTTGACCTTGCTAACAGTGTCAAGATTACATCATATATTCCTGGGGTGGTTTTTTTTGTTGTTTGTTTTTTTTCTGGTGTTCTTGTGATGCCAGTTTAGAAGGTAAGTCTGATTATTAGAAGGCAGAGACGGAAAAAGATGCTCCCTCTTATGGACAGAGCTTACTTGGCTATCCCAGATCAGACCTCTGAGAGTTACTCAATTGGGTATTTTGTTCCACTGGATTCATATGCCAGAGAACTGCTCTTTTCACTGAAAGATGATTCACCAGATTATAGTTTTCTTCAGTTAAATTTATTCTCATTTTTCTTTTTCACTTTGGAGCCTATCTATATTATAAGCCTGCAACAGCCTTATAAAAATCATTGTAATGAATCTACCAAATGAAAGCTAACCTTTGAACTTACTATGAAAACTTCAATGCATGAATTTTCCATTTTAGAGAAACTGAAAATGCATTACACTGTTTAACTTCACTTAGCTAAAAACACTCTGGAGCTAAAGTAAAAAAAAAAAGTTCAACTTTAACACATCGTGCATCAATTATACAGTGCCTTCAGCAAAGTGTTACCAAGACTTCTCTCCAAAACACATGAACCAAAGTTTGTATTCCAATGATTTTTGCAAAAGTCTGCAAAGATTTTCAGATTTCACAGAGTTCTATGAAAACTGTGAATAATTTATCCCTAGTGAAGGTCTGAGCTTGTCTTTCAACTAGACCATCTATCACTATGTGTGAATGGAGTTTGCTCTCTCAGGTGTTACAAAACTGAAAAACAAGCTTCAGGTGTACGTCTCCATTGAGAAGAAACTACTACAGATATGGTCTGTATCTCACTGCAAGACTTGCATGACCATACCAAAAAATATGGGGCATAACATGTCAGAAATCATCATGTTCTGGGTAAAGTGTTCCTGAATTACTTTCTTCCTCAAGAAGTTACAAGGACACCCTGACTACTTATTAGGTAGATTCTTGACTTATAAAGACTAAAACCAGTAAGGAAATGGTTGATACCTGCAGGAGGAATCCATATGCAGTAGTCTGGGTCGTCATCTGGATACTGTGAGGAGAAAAAAGGTTGTTGGACCTGCAAAAGGAGAAAAGATTTCTAAGGTGCTGCACCCCTCCAGCAATGTGTCACAGGTACTGAATCTCTAATTAATTCAGAGACAAATACTGAAAGGTGAGGGTTATTTCTACAAGAGTCAGAGATGGAAACAATAATACAGAGGAAAGAAGAAATATAAACACCTCAGATAAATCCAGTTTATTCCCAGTAAAAGTCACAGAATAATAGAAATAAATGCTGGTGAGATGGGACTCTGGAGGTCATCCAGTCCAATCTCCCCCTCAGAACAGAACCACTGCCAACTCTCCACTTCCAGACAGTTTAATCTTATCATCCTAATGTTTGGTAGTGTCATTTGACACAGAATTTCTTTACGCAAGGAAAAGCTTTAGAGTAGGATTTTCAATAAGGATTTTAATGCACAATCCCACTGAAAACTTCAGATTTAAGGTGACTTTCAAACTGGAGTATATAAAAGTTCAACTGTTATATAATTTAGATTTTCAAAAGAAAAAAAAAAAACAATTTTTTCAGGTCTCACTGGCATCACCAAGATGCTTAAAGCAAACCAAAACTTCTCACTTGCAATTCAAATGTTGTTACAGCTATGGGGTTTTGTCCCCATTTTTTTTTTTTTTGGTAAGTTTTACCACTTCAGCGTAATTTTCTCAACAACTTTTGTTTTCAACAACTGCAGGTAGCTACCAAAAAAATTCATACAACTCTAGAGTGCAAGACTTAAGAGCTCAAAATGTAGCCAAGTTACTCAGCACTGATTTGTATTACTATGTAGTATCATGACAGAGCCTTAAATTATGCAGTTGAAGCAATTTCTCATTCCCTCAAACTTCACCAAATTAACCTCTAAAACAGTTACTTTGGAAGACTAATGTTTTTCAAAACATTACACGGCAGAGCTGAACAGTTTTTAAATACGGCTTGCAAAGAGTCACTTCAAAATTGTTTTTCTAGTTTTATATGATTCAAAGTTATTCCTCAAATATTAAAAGAGAATTAAAAAAAAGAGCTGACTTCTGGTTGATATTTTCCATGCAAGATCTGAGCCCAAAGGCAGAGACAGCATGTGGAAAAAGTGATTTGTGATGGGAGAGAGAGAATACAGCTAAGCCATCTGGCATTTGGAGAATGCTCAGTGTTAGACTGCTCTGTGCTGCTGAGAGGTGATGACTTGACTGCCTCGGCATGAGAAGCTGCCTTCTTCCATATTCACTCAAATGGTATAACTTGAGCTTTAAAAGTATAAATTTACCCTTGCTTTCTTTATCAACATTCTTTATAGGCCAGCAACAAAGGACAACTCTAAGGGCTATGCCTACCCAATCCTTAGGTCCTTTGCCAGGACTAACAAGGCAGCAGTTAGCACACACAGGCTGCAGGGAGTTAAGTTTCTTTAAGTAAGTGGTGCAGGGCTAAAATTAGATGGCCACCACAAAGAAATTGTCATAATGGTCAGACCTCATGGCTTACCAAGTACAGTAATTTTCTTTGATGGCAGTCTGCAAAAGGGCGGGACGCACTCTAAAGGGCAGAACCTCACAATAATCATTAGGCTAAGAGCGTGCTGTCAGAGAAGTTTGCTTCCAGCTCCAGGAAGGCAACAATTGCCCCAAAACATGAAAAACTCATATACTTTACATTTTAATACAAGTCTTATGCATGGGAAGAACATTATCTGGTACAGCCGCTCAAATTTAGTAATAATTTTGTTGCAAAAGACAAAAGTCACAGACTCATTAATTTCCACATCTTACAGTAAAGGATAAGGTTTGATAATGGCAATACAGACTAGCCACAATTTTAGTACAGTGTGTTCTGCATCAGCTCCAAGGGAAGTTTTGCAATGCCATTCCAAAGCCCAGAGAATGCCTATGTTCTATAACATGTGTGATATGGGAGAAACAGCAATTAGCAGAGGCTAACTTCCAAATGAAAAGGTGGGGGGGAAAAAAAGTGATTGAATAGAGAGTCTTTATCATGCTTGAAATGCTGTGCTTTACCTTTTGATTGGAGACTCCAAAATCTGTGTCCAATGACAGTGTGTAGTTCTACATTTGGGTCTTAGCAGAAAAGCACTAAGCACCAAGTCATACTCAATCAAATTGTTACTACTTCACTAAAATAAGAGCCTACTAAATGATTTCCTGAAGCTCTTAAGCTGCAGGAGTCATGGTGTCCTAACGCTCTCAGGCCAAGACAGTTGGGGTTTTTCAGCCTAGAGAAAGCTCCAGGGAGACCTTATAGCGGCCTTCCAGTACTTAAAGGGGGCTATAGGAGAGATGGGGAGGGACTCTATCAGGGACTGTAGTGATAGGACAAGGGTTAACAGTTTTAAACTGAAAGAGGGCAGATTTAAATTAGATTTAAGGAAGAAATTCTTTACTGTGGGGGTGATGAGGCACTGGAACAGGTTGCCCAGAGAGGTTGTGGCTGCCCCCTCCCTGGCAGCGTTCAAGGCCAGGTTGGACGGGGCTTTGAGCAACCTGGGCTAGTGGAAGGTGTCCCTGCCCATGGCAGGGGGGGTGGAACTACATGATCTTGAAGATCTCTCCCAACCCAACCCGTTCTATGATTTGATAACTGACCTTGCTTGAGCTATTGATTTTCTTAACGTTCTCAGATGTCTCTTCAGGTTCCTTATATACTGCCTCAGATGCTGGGAAGAAAGAACATTTGTTTTATGACACATCACAAATTCCCAATTCTGTCAGAAATAAGCTTATAGGAATTTCACACAAAAATGGATACATCCAAAAGGACATCCAAGACAGGTCCCTGCAACAAAATTCATACTTAAGACTGCTGAACATCTTTTTGCTTTTCATAGATTTATTAACTTACATTTAATACACTGTCAGTCACCTACCTGAATGCACTTTAATAAGGTCATCTATTTGGGATTCTGTAACACCCTTTAGTTAATGGCAATGTTTATTTTCTAGAAGATATTCTCTATCTGTAATCACCGCAGCAATTGATTTAGAAGGAAACAGTAGGAAATGTGCAGGACCAACTTGCTCTTTTTTTAAAAAAACCCCCAAATTTACAGTAACATAGGAAAGAAGAATACAGAAGAAATAGAAGTATGCCTTGTTTTTCTGTCACAATCTGTGAAATATTGAGACTCTTGTTGCTTAAGTCTATGGATGAGACAAGGAGGACAGGAACAACATTCTTAAGTGTGAGTTATGAAAAAAATAGGAGATTAATACATATGTTCTCCATGTTCAGTACACCCAACAGTCTTCATTTTGAGAATCTTTTTTTTTTTTTGTGTGTGTGTACAAGTAGAGGGGTCATCTGCATCATTAACAGATTGTTAGCTAATGTTACGTAGTAGTTGTCACTTTATAAAAGAAAGCTCTTTTTTTCCTACTCCTTCTGTAGTATTAAGAGCTACTGCAAGAGATTAGGGAGAAAAAAAGCGCATTATGTTTATGCTCCTAAATTAAAATAGTTTTTCTTCTCTTTGCTTGCTATTTCTTTAAAACAAAGGATCTCTTAATGACTATGAAAAGCAAGGAGAATTGAAATACAGTTGAAGTGATCTGTCTTCACAATACACTTACTACTTCCCAACCAAAACACAATCCTTCATTTCAATTCTAGATTCTTTAGGCTCTAGATTAGTCTTAGTTTCCTTCTACTGCCAGAAGACAGTAAGTCCTTTAGACAGTTTCTAAACCCACATGCCACTGTACAACAGAGTCTGAATTGAACTGCTTACCTTGAGATTTCTCTTGTGAGGGTCCCATCTGAGATTTATTCCTCAATACCTTTGGCTCTGGCAGAAAATGAATCCCTGTAAAAGAAAAATGAAAGAGCTAAGTGAGCACTCTGCAGTAATGCTGACAAGTAGAATGGTAGCATCCCTGAGACAAAGTACATAAGGGAACTCTTTGCTACATTTGTCTCAGGAAGAACTCTTCTCTCAGAAGTCCTCCAAATTATTTCATCCACCAAGTCCATCACAATACAATATTAAAAAAAACCCTTGTGATCAGTTGTCATCAAAAACATCCTTTACTGAGAAACATCATTACTGACTTCTCAAATGCATCAAGATGATATAGAAATGGAGGGACTGGATATAAGCCACATGGATACAAGGAAGATACCTCTCTATTACCACTTCTAAAATTATTTTTCCTCCTTACAAACCAATCTAAAGCTTTACACAGAAATCTGTTTTCTTATTAAGTTACTCATTACAACACATTGTAGTTGTTCTCATATGGACACCCAATCTAATGAAAGCTTATAAAAGAGCTTATCAAAATAGGACCTTTCTTGAGTCCAGATTTTTTCTGTTTCACCAAAAGCATGAAAAACTGATCGCCAAGGAGAGTTTCAACTGGAATCATGTGAAAACTGCTGGCACACAGACTCTGGATTCATGGCAAAAATCTATGGAAAACAAATCTGCTGTAGAACCTGTGACTCAAGTCTTATGAGATTCACATAGCTCTGAAAAATTCAGCATTAACGGACTCAGCTGCATTACTGGAAAAACCCAAACCAATGGTTTACCATCCTGAAGGTATTCCAGATTCCTGTTATTGCAAGGAGAATCATCAAGAGCATTAGATTCTTTTCCTGTTTCTTCCTGTGTTGTAATTTCCATTTCCAGGTTTGATGGTCTGCTGTTTATTGCATCTACTACTTGCTCCTCCTCCATTTCTTCCTCTTCTTCTTCTTCCTCCTCCTCCTCTGGTCCATCATCTTTCATTTTTAACAAGCTTTCAGGGATGTCTGGACGCTTAACAGGCAACTTCTGCAGGAGAAAGACTTGTGCATCAGTGCCAAGGTAAATGTAGGTAGAGGTTGCAGATTCATTGCAGGAAAAAGCACACACATTACTGTCAGAGACAGCTGGTAAGGAAACACTCTCAGGATGAAGAATAGTTAGGTTTTAAGGAAAAGTTATTAGTAGAGATGGAAGATAAAGAGATATGTCCAGCTCACAGACAAGGAGTGCTATGTTTCTGTAAGAGGGACACTGGCAACTGAATCAATCTTGGATATGATCTTAGCTCTAAGATCAAGAAAAGCAAAAGAAAGTCAAGGACCAGCTGCTGAGGTACAGCAGTGGTTCAGCTTGATATCCCCAGATTGCCTCTACTTGATCCACTGCCTTTTGACCACAGCTGTGCCCCAGGAGCCTGACTGTACAGGGGCACAGAATGGCAACTGCTGGCAACAAACAACATCCAGTAGCCACTGCTTGCTCCCCTGTGCACCCTCCACAGCTGCAGGCTTGTGCCTCCGTGCTGTTTCCATGCCTGTGAGAAGACATGGTTACTACTTACAGTCTCCACAGCTTGAGAAGGTGTCAGAAATAGCCTCTGACTTGCAGCACTTATGAGTCCAACTTACCCCTAGGCTCCCAGTTTTCAGCTTGAATTTGCTCCCCCCTTTCATTGCACCAAAGAGAGGCAGGGTAATCTTTTTAGGCTTGCTCTCTGCTTCCAGACTGTAACTCCCACTCCTAATAAAAATTAGATACAAAGGAAAACAGTGTATACTGTATCAAAAAAATCTTATATTTAGAAATGCAAAAAATATCTGCAAGTTAGAAGTGGATATATAAAATTCCTTTAATTTCTCTTTCACTTGCAGCATCCAAGGAGGAAGCTGCAGTCCTCCATCTTACATACATATTGTAGAATTCAGACCCTTGGTGTAACAGGAAGAAAAAAAAAAAAAAAAAAAAAAAGAAAAGAAAAGAAAACCCAGTATATCACACAGACTCCTCAAATTCAATTGCACACACATACTTGCATTTGTATATAATACATATATAAAAACACACTCAGAGGCTAAACGTCAATTTAAGTAAATTAATTAAGTAATTAAAACTCTAATCAAGCTGACACTAGCAAATGATGAACCCAGCACACGCCCTCTTGAATTGCAGTAGTGCTGCTAGGCAGTAGTTGAACAGCCACTACACTTGACTTCCAAGTACATCTCAGAGTGAAAGCAGTTTACATGTTGTACATAATACCTGTAAAATTCTTCAGTTCCTTCTAGATGCAGGTTGGGGAAAAAAATTTTAAAAGCTGACACTATGCTTCCAATCCCTTCCTCTTCACATCCTCCCATCCTCCCAGCGTGGGCTTATCTTATGACAGATGCACTCCAGTGGTGTGGAGATGCTACAAGAGCCAAAAGGCACCGCGGCTCTTTAATGAGGTGAACCAGGCAGTTTGGAGGGGAAGACTGTCCTGCTTCTGTGTTTGGAAAGCTGTCTATTTACTGTGCTTGCACAACTGTCCATGGATAACAACTGTGATAGAAGTAATAGTTTTACACTTTAGCCAAGACTTACTGGGGCTTCAGCTCAGGCAGTTCTGCAGGCTTGACAAGCTTTATTAACCCCTTCAGTCTCTGTTGTTCTTTCTTCAGTTCAAAGGACCGCAAGTGAAGCTTCTTTCGTGCCACACTGTCTAAAGTACTTCCTGATTTCATTTCAGTCATGAATTCATCCAAGGAATCTTGAGCTGCTGGCTGGGATGGGACTAGGCAAGATAAAGAGAAAATACATATTGTTACTGGTGGGGAGATGAGAGCTGTACTCATTTAAGTCCTACCTTTAGAGAAATAAGGTATATAGGAACAACTATAGTCTGCGCAAGTTTCTGTTGAATGATGAAATAACTGAGGTTGTTATCCCTGGAAAGATGAAAGCATTTCTCCTAACAAAAGCCTGACAGTAAACTTTAATCCATATACATAACAAAGCCTCTCTCAAAAATGTATGTTTCTTTATGAATAAGTGTCCCTATTCTAGGTTGCTCATCTCACTTCAAGATCTGCTGTCCCTAAAAAAAGTGGCTTATGGGTTGTTTTCGTAGTCACAGACTAAAATAAACACAGCTACAAAGAATCCCACACCACTGCATGGGGAATCCCATTTTGGGTTTCCTGGAATGTTTATATAGTAACATTTGCAAAGCTTGAAATGAATCAACACATAATGCTGCCTACTACCTCTGGATGACTGAGTGCATACAGGAATAGTTTCATCTGTTAGGTCAATCACACAAAATTTATGTTTGACTGGATTTTCTAAGAAAACACTGCTCTGTACTTGAGAAATAGTAACAACAGTCTTTCTACTCTACCTGATTTCAACTATTAATAATTCTATGCATATTTGACTAATTAAAACTCAGGAGAAAAACCTGAAGCTCTAATGGCTAAGAAAAATAAATACAGAGTTCTGACACATGGATTTCAAATAACCAAAACTAAAAAACCCAGGAAAACTCCCTTCTTAGGCTTGAACAATACTTCAGAAGTTTTTATATGGTGTTCAACAAGAACCTGGAGGCAAACAAAGAATAATGTTGTTGCTAGAATTTTTAAAAGCCTTTTTCCAGACAGTCTTCTGCCTCTTAATATTATATGAAAAGTGTAAAGCCGGTATTTATTTTCTGCACTATAAGCATTTACGCATATATGCCCAAGCATAATTATGTGACCAATGAGTTACTTTCAGTTCAGCTTGAGCTAATTAAGTAGCACTTGAAATTTTAAATGTGTACAAATAAAATAGTATGTTATTGCAAAGAGTATACATTCAAGCAGTTTTACATGACTTAAATATTTAGAGAAAAGTCTAGTAAGACTCATGTTTATAAATGGACTCAATTGAAGAGTATATTTCTGTTCCAGAACAAAATACAATTTACAATTTGCAGATATATGAAAGCCACAACAGTAACTGTTCCAAGATATACAGAATTAAGAGGCTTCAAAAGATAAGAAACAGTTGTAGCATTCACCTCCACACAGATATAAATGATGACAAAACATGTCATAAAAGAAATTCAGATGGAAATACTCTTCTTTTTCCTCATAACTATTTATATGAGCTAAGATAAAAAATGGCAATGAAAAGGTACTGTTAACAAACAGTCTGAAACTCCTAGCAAGCAGGAGCAGAGCAGAACGATAATTTAATTTAAACACTAAATTTCAAAGATACGGTTTAGTCTCTAGACAGGTAATTCAGAACAATTAAATTAAAGCTCTCTTCTTTCACTGCAGGACAGTGTATGTGCTTCAGGCAGTGAGTAATCTTCAGCGAGTCAGATCACCCCTTCCTGCAAAGCGGATTCTCTCACCGATTCTACCAACAGTGTCCAAGATCAGGTAGTTCAGCTTACAGGGTTACTGTTTGCATTCAGTATCTGTTGCAGCAGTTTTCTACACTATTGAAGTAAAATTTGACATTGCTAGGAGGTGAATCAGTCATGGCTATTACACTTTAGATGCCAGTGAAAAACGCTCTAGGGCTATTTACTGCACCATCAACTTATTGATGATTTTCTTCTGTATAGGCAACCAAAAATGGGACTGAATAGCTCTAGACATTTGATTTTCATTCAGCTGCATCAGTGAATGAGAGATACCAAGTCAGTCCGTCAGTAATTAGTTCTGAATAACTCCAACAAACAATTTTTTTTTTTTTTTTTTCTCCAAGTGCTTGGTAAGTTCAATTTAGCCTGTCATTCGCTTACTGGTCTCTACACTCTTGCCCTTAGGCTACAAAATCATTTAGAGCAAGCAAAAGTGCATTAAGGTTTCATAAGTGTATGTAATGCAGCAGCTGTGCCAGACAGCTCATGACAGAGGTTCATGTTTAATATGCATGCTCATGGCTTACACCTGTACTCAACACCTGTGATTAACCTGAAGCATCCAAACAAATAAGAGAAAACACAAGTATCTAGAACACACACACACACACACACTAACTGATGATGCAATATTTGCTATGTTTTGTCCTGATCTAGTTCTAGAAAGTTCCCATACAATACTGAATCACTCTGTATTGCAATAAACACTGAGACTGCAGTTTCTCCGATGCTCTAAACTAGCTGTGTAACTACTTACAATTTACCAAACCATGATAACATATCAGAATTATATGGTGTTAGTAGAAGCCTATAAATGAACTGATTCTTCCTTCTCCCATCATCTACTACAATATGATTTAACAGTCTTGTTAAGAAACGGTATCAGCAGAAACAAAGGCATCATAACATATGAAAGCTTGGAATTACATGTCTGAGACAATATGAGGCATTAGCTTCTCTTCCTAGTCAATCATTAACTACTTATCCGAACAGTCATGCTTAAAACAATTCCTTCAAACATGCTGAACCAACCCATCAGTTAGAACGCTCAGTGGAACAGTACTGTTTTCTGAACAGTGATCGGGTATAATCAATCACCAACAAATATCTTGATACAAATGAGTTTTGGTGAATTACTATAAGGAAACATACCCACATAATGCACAAAATATAGCCCAGCCAGATTGCTGCTAGGCTTCTTGGAGAGAAACAATTCTGACAAACTGATGTTGTAAATTCTGACAAACTGATGCTGCAACTTGGATTAACGCCAACTCTGTTTAAAAAGGTTTCTCTATGAAGAACCATCCTAAACACCTTTCCTTCATGCCTTCCTTTTATTCCACAAGACAGCACCAGCAGAGGAAGCAAAGTGCAGCTATTTGTATAGTATGCTTTTAAATCTACCTCAATACCAGATACAATCACCGCTTCAGAAAGGCTCTGTCTTCGTACACAAAGGCATAATCCTAGAATCTGAGTGGGACCCTCACAAGCTAGCAAGTTCGCTGAACATATGGGCTAAATGTGAACTGCTTTGACTCAACATTTCTGTTTTCCCACCTTTCCTTTTTCAGGTGCATTCAGAATGAGAAAAGTGAAATAAAAGATACTGTCGTTTCTGTCGTTTGCTCTTCCTTTATAAATGGTTTTGGAGGGAGTGGAAAAAATTGTTCCTCAAGCTGGGTCAGTTTCACTAACACAGGCAGATAGACAGTAATAAAGCTCACCCTCTTGTACACTCACCTCCTTACCTTAACTTAGATGTTGCTTGCTTTGGAAATAGTTACATTCATTAGCAAGCGATTATACACACAGAGTACATAAACTATTAGATGAAGAGCCTAAGTATCCTCTCCAGCTAACTCAGTGACCTGCAAGTCTCCCTACTCCTTTGTGAAAAGTGGACACTAAAAAAAGGCACTTAAGGTAAAAATTCATAAGACAACTTTCTCACCTCTTTATTGTTCTTTATGGAAAGCACTACGATCAAATAAACTTCATGTCTTACCTTTCCCTGAAGACTTCAGCTTCTCTGTTATCTCAGAAAGCTCATTTTCAGCTTCATTTAGCTTTGTGACCTATGAAGGAACAACATGCTTAGAAGACCTTTTTATCTTCTTAAAATCCCTTTTAAGAGTTACTCAAATATCCTACCAAATTACCTCAATTTTTCTACTTCTGATCTTTGACCAGGGGTTTCTAGGCTGAAAATTATAGTCTAGAGTGTTCCTAAACAACTTATCAGTCCTTTCACATACTGTTCAAATAAATTTTCTTTCTGGAACACAAAAATACGTCTAATGCTTCTGCAGTAATGTTATAACACCACTGTGATACTCCAACCCTCCCTATGCCTGCTCCCCCCCACCTCATTATCTGTGTAGGACTTTTAGTTGTCATATGCCCACTAGTCCAGACTGTCCAGCAGAACGAGATCCTTCTTTGGGATGTGCCTCATGCACTTAAAAGCCTGTCACTATTTTCTGATGCTTTAAAAGTATTTTAAAAGTATTGTGTTCTGGTATGTCATTCACCCACTGCAATGTTCCACAAAGTAGAAGGCAATACTACACAAGCAAAAGTAAGGTAGTGTGCTTCCCCTAGAATAAAGTAAGCAGTATTTTCAGATATTTATAGATATTGTCCACAAATAAATAAAAAACCCCACTATTTTAGGCTAACTTGGCTAATTGACAGCTAAAGGTCTGAAATAACATCAGAGTTCAAGCTAACAGAGAAAGATCAGGAAATATTTTTTATTTTCCTTCCTAGTAATAATACATGCATGAGAGAATAAGCCTGGCATGTCATAATAACTCTTCTTACCAGGGAGTCATAAGTCTCTGGTTTTTCTTCTATTTTACCAGCCTTTTTCATTCTGTTCAGTCGTTTCTTTTCTACAGCACCAGTTCGGTCAAGGAAGGTGTCATCATCACTGTCATAAAAATCCTCATCTTCCCAGTTTTTTGATTTCCTTTTTCGCGATACTGGGAAAGGTAAGAGCGAAAGCAAGAAACAAAATGGTTGGCATACCACTGAGCAATAAAAACAAATTCAAGATAGCAATCTCAAATCCCTAGTTTAGGGCTATTAGAACAATCACATTTGACTAGTTAGTCACCTGCTTCTTGCCTCAGTACTCCCCGAGCATCGAGTAGCCTGCAAGCTTCCAGTGCGCACTGTATCATTGCTTCCTTCTTCTTTCCTGAATGTAGAATCTCTGCCACCAACTGCTTCCCTGATGCATCATCCACAGGCAACCTGTTCAGTTTGAAGAATCAGAGAAAAGCTCAGATACAAACACAGCTTTTCGTGGATGCTACTCAGATATTTTATCACGTTGGCATTGTTCTTTCCATTTCACTCTAGTCTTTTTTTGTAGGTTAAATATTTTCACTTTTCATTTCATACAGTACCAAACAAAACACAAGCATGAATTTCCTAAAGCATGCAACTAAATTTTTATTTCACTAGTCCAAACAATAATTACTCCTATATTCATTCCACTGGAAATACAACAAGTTAAAAGATTAAATGTCAATCCCCAAATAATTTCAAGCACCAGTATCTTGCATCTATGCAACACCGGTTACAAATATTTTCCACGATGAAGCAAGGGTTTACTTAAGCAGTACAATCACTGCAATGTTGTACCTATCCATTTGAGACCTATCCTGCTGACTTAATTCCCACCTCTTCTTCTCTTGTCTTATACAAGAATGACATTAGTGGCCTCTTGCAGGAACCCATCAAAAATTGTCTTCTACCATAAATTAACTGAAATTTGGTACACAGTAGAATTATTTTTTTTTTCCCTCTCCCATTAGGAAATGAAAAATAATTTCCCTCAATTCCATATATTTCTCAAAACAAGGGGAACTGAAAGAACTTAGACTCTTGTTTTCCTGATTTTCATCTCTAAGAAAAGCCAAATGCTGCCAGACCAGCAAGGAGGACAGACACTAAGCTAAGCACTGATCCTTGGACCTAAGCCCTGATAGTGATACAGTTCAATTCCAGCTGGCCTCCTTGTCTAGTGTGACAAAACAAGTAATTCCTTCAGCTTTTGTTCGTGAGTTCAATAAAATCAGCTTCTGTGTAGAAAAGTGAATGGAGACATACATACTTGATCCTGCATAACCAGCTGTTGTGCCCACGATCATCATATTCATATTCTAACTCTTCTCCTAGAGAGGAAAAGAAAGTTGATACGGTAACCAAAATTGAAATAAGCAGGAATAATCTTTACAGAAGGGAAGAATGTCATGGTTAACCAAAAGAGATAAAATGCCCCTGTTACATATTAAATGACTGAATTAGCCTTTTTTTTTTTAAGCCCTGAGATTTTCAGTTGATATTATGCTTATTTGGTTGTTTTAAAAAAAAAAAAAAAAAAAAAAAAAAATCTAAGTGGCCTGTTCAGGAATATATAGTACAAAGAAAAAATAATCTTGCCTCTATATGTATTAAAGTAAGTGACACTGAAATAACAACAGTTTGCAAACTGGATTCACAGACACTGTTTATCTTGAAGATTTATTTTTCACTTTAGCAAATAAGCAAGTCATCTGTAAGTTTTGCTAGCAACCACTGAAACTCTAGACCAATTAATTACCGCCTTTTGTCTTTAAATACTTTCAAATTCTATCTCACAGTTAGAGCTATCTCCAAACAGAACAGTCTGGAATTTTATGGGTTTGGATTTTTCAGCATAGCTTCAAAGCATGGATGTGGTTTGAGTGTCATTCCAGAGGAATACAAGGTGCTCTCTGCAATTTCCAGTTTAGGTCTTAGTAACTAAGTCTCAGATATACAATGGTGAGCTAAGTTTTACTTAAAAAATACCCAAACAAAAATACAAACCACCACTAACCCTGACCTTGCTGCCCCCAAAACCTGACCAAACAAAAAACCTTACCCACAATGCAATAGAAAAGTTAGCTCTCCGACCTTAATTCCCAAGGAAAAAACATGAGCACAAATGTCACACTTTGCTAAACAGAAAAAATTACATTTAATTAAAAAAAGAGAAAGGAAAAAAAAAAAAAAAGTACCTTCTCTGTCAAAAAAGCCCTGTAAGGCCTTCCTAGGATCTTTCATATAGAAGGCATCTTGTACATCCTGAAAATCAATAGCAATAGGGTTTTCTTCAACCTCATCCTCCTCAGCATCCTCCCCTACAAGACATAAAAGTGCAAAAAAAATGGTGAAATGTCAGAAAGAGAATGACAGTATATTTCAACTTTCATCAGATAAAAAGCAGCAGCTGTATCATCCTAAAATAATTTCCCTTAACTTGAATAATATTTCTGCATCTAATAAAAAAAAAATCCCAAACCAATCCTGTTTCTTTTTTGGTATCAGTTATTCCATCACAAGATACAGTTTTGCAGATGAACATCACTGCAGTTTCAGCACTTTCAAAGGTTTATGTGCTTATACATTTCCATTCAAAAAAACAACTAAATTTTTTACTGACAAGCTAATTAATTTACAATTTATCTAGCTTTAAGATGTGGACTTCCTGTTTAAATTTAAAGACAGATATACGGCACAGAAGTCTCAAGCAATTAAATTTCAGTTCCTGGGCAAAAGTGTTGACATCATGACAGGAACAAAACACATAGGATTAACCTAAACTCTATTTCATGGTCCTTTATAGGTTTAGGCAAATTACCTTCTTGGTTTTAAAATGAGCTCTAGCATACTTCTCACCAGATAGAAACTTGCATTGTCACAGCACTCTTTTTTTTTTAAGGAAAAGTATTGACTTGTACTCAAGAACTTCCACAGGATTGGGACACTTGGCATCCAAATGGAATTTCAATCCTAGTGTTCACTGAAAACTGGCTTAAAGACCTTCCAAGGTGTATCAGCTGATTTATATATCATCACTTACCCATTCCCCATGAGCAGCTCATATCAGTGTTCTGACTCTTCTCGCTTCTCTCCTCTTTTTCATCTTCCTCATCTGAGTCCTCTCCCAACATTGTCTTTTCTAATTTTGCTTGCTGCTGCTTACGCAGTGCCTTCAGTTGAGTCACAGTTAGTTCCGACTCAGACTCCTGGTCCTCTTTGGGTCCCTGTGTCACAAACAGTAACATAGTAAAAGTGTTTTTTAAAGGATAAATTAATTCATTTCAACACACATGCAGATTATGTACAATAACACAAATCATTACAGTATTCTACAAAAATAAATTATTAGACCATTTGTTATGGTTTGCATCCCCAAATATATTAGTTTTAATGTCTTTTCTAAAGGGGAGGAAAAAATAAACAAGCATTATTGGGTACCTGTAGTCAGATCAATCTCAAATAAAGCTTTATTGTAAAGGCAGAAGGCAAAAATTTCTGTCAGTGACACATGGGAGAATCTGAGGAATGAGAAGCTCCAGAAGCACATGTAGGGCATGCTGAGCGCTAAGTTCCTACTAATAAAAGTTATCCTTATTCACAAAGAACTACTAGCACCCTACTTTCCTGATGCATCACACTGTTGGAGAGACTTTCCCAACACATCATACCACTGGAGAGAAATGCCTTCTGCACTCACTGAGTATCGGCAGAAACTGCCACGCCTGTTCTCACGCTGAGCCCTCGGCAGCTGCCCAGCGTCCCAGGGCGATGCGGCAGCGGGGGGACCCCAAGGCCCTGCCCCGTCCTTCAGCCCCGGCCCTCACGGTAGAGCTGGCAGCCGATACCTACAGCTGACTACTCATGCCCAGGAGAAGCACCCCGGCGGCGCTGGGCAGCTTCCACAGCATCCAAACCGCCTCACCCCTCAGAAGCGGCTTTCACCCCCGAAATGTCAGGGAGATGTAGACAGAGCCGGATAAATCCCCGAGCGTGATCCGGGGCGGACCCCGACGTACCTGCAGGAGGAAGAGGCGGGAGCTGCCGCCGAAGCGGAGCCCGTGGCCCACCCGCACCCGGCAGTAGGTGCGGGGCGGCACCCGCGTCTTGTTGAGGAAGGTGCCATGGGTGCTGCCCAGGTCGTACACGTAGAAGCCGGCGGCGTCGGGGT